AGTCTCTGTTAAACTTGCAATTGAAAAGCCACATCAATCGGATGGATAATATATGCACAGAAACTTTCGAAGGGATCGCACGCAAATATGTTTGTGATTTTCCCTCTTCGTAAAGAACATAAAGTTTTCCTGTTGGGAGCAATGAAAGGGTTAACTTTTTGTAATGAAAACTTATTGATAATAGCCACTGGTGTATTCTAGGAAAGGTTTTAAAGTTAAACCCCTTTGTTCCAAATGAAAAAAATTAGTTTTGCTGAAGCTGTTTCAAAACTCTAGGAAAATGATGCATTAAAAGTTAAAGCAGGACTGGAAGTTTCTCCACGTCCTCGTCATTGTTATCTTAGAGTAAAAGCTAAGCATGCAAGATACTAAGAAAAATATCAAATGAAATAATTTTTCCGAAACCTTTCAAACATCCACTAGTGCACAATACCAAAGTATCAACAAAATGCTGTTATTGATTAGGCAGAGTATCTGTGGAAATATTGTATAACTGTAGTCATCGACAAATTTTATTTTAAACAATAAATAGTATATTTTATTGCTTATCATCATGGTATTATTCTCTCAATTAAAATGTACATTTACATAGTATATAAAAGTTACAGCACTCAAAATAGAAAATTGCTTACTGTATAGCTTATTTTTGTTGTATAATATTGAAATCCTGTTTGATACTTTGCGAGAAAAATTACGCAATTAATTATATAAAGAAATAGTCAAATCAAGATCACGTCGTATATATTATGTATATCGCGTCGAATTATTGTATTTTTCACATGCTTATGTTACCGATACGCTGTTTAGAACTTTAGATTGTAGTTTCAAAAAATGTTGACCAATAGTTAATGTGTAATAATTCCAATTATATACGATATTTCGATTTGTTTGTAAATTACAGTCGTACTCAACAGTCGAAATCAACAAGCATATGAAGCACCAAATAACTTGGCATATATGTGATTGATATAAATATGAAGTTATATTTCTAGTTTTCTTAGTTTTTACTGGATACTTTTATTCATTTCGTATAATTGCAGTTTATATAAAATATAAATTAGTAATTACATAATTTAATTAATTATCAAACTGCACTTTATGAAATTTTTATACATGTATATAATTTTACCGTACTGAGAAACAAAAATTTCTTATATATACACACTTCTATATAAAAGAAATTTTATATATTTATCGAGCATATATTTAAATGTAGGTACATGTACATCATACCATGTTTCTGTATTGGACACATCTATATCACGAGCATACACAATGCGTGTATGTATAAGCATTATAATGCGTTTGTAGTCATAATTCCGACGAGAAGATGAAGATGGAGATTAGAAATGTTCAGTCAACTACATTTAAAAGCATATTAAAATATGTCACAGCTGTCTTCACGACCTGTAAAATAAGCATAATATCCTACAATTATTTACATACTATTTCATACATTAGGTTTGTTAAAATTGGCACGAGAGATTCATTTAAAAAGTCGTACTTGATTCATGTATGTGTGGGTGTCTACTATATTACAAAGATAAATATAATCACACTCTATAATGTATTTAATTCTAGTGTTGCTGATTCCTGAAAACATAAATAAATACTTTTGGACACATGTTCTTACATCGCCATATGTCTTGAATGATAGATCCATGATTTTTCCAGCAGTGATCTTCATGGGCAAGTTTGACATGATTACCACAAGCACGATCCCACGCGCTTCCTTGGTCGGAAGACGATACCATTCAAGCACGCAAGATGTTCTAGCTACTTTCTCTGCCTGTTATTAATATCATGAAATTCGTGAAGCAAAATTTCCGCAGATATAAACATCGCTTTAAGAATATTATAAAACAATTTCCAGGAATATCTTCTCAAGTAGGGGAGACCGGGGCAAAGTCGGCCCTTTTTTTCGGTGCCGATTTTTAACGACAAAATAAATCATTTTAGTGAAATATAGTATACCATTGTAAAGAGTGAACCCTTGGCTACAAAATTTATACAGGCATTTTTGGTTTACGTCGCTTTGTTCAACCGGTATAGAGTAAAAACGACGAAAGTGCAAAAATCGAAAAGTCAAAATTCCCGGGGCGGAGTCGTGTCTTCATTCTCGGACTGGATTTTAAATAAAGATACATAATTTTGATCATAAAAAATAACAGAATACACTTTAATTCACTGTTTAATAGAAAAATGGAAAGCGGAAAATAATTTCAAAAAAATCAATTTTCTTTTTTGCTAAAAATTAAAGCATATAAAAACAGAGTCTGACGAGCGCACGCACTCGTTGTGTGTTTTACGCCTGCACGAAATGCACTGTTTTTCATCGGCTCTGTTTTCTGTTATCCCCGAGCATACGCAGCACATATTATTTAGCTTTCTTGACTTCGTTTTGGCTTGGAAACAACTTCGCCCCGAACACAAGTTTTAGGTTTGGTCGCTTATAAAATAATAGAAATTAATAAAAATAAAAAAACTGCACTGGATTCGTGTTCAACATGCATTACTTTTTAGAATCACTTACTTTAAAATTCGGAAAGACAATAATACTTAAGATATTGCAAACTTTCGACACGCGGAAGAAATTTTACTTTTGACTTGCGAAAACACTTTTGCTTCGATTAAAATTACAATATGGCACGTAACCTTACTAAACTCCGTTGGTTATGTGGGCACCATAAATCGCGCGCTTACAGTATTAATGGCGAGTTCATACAACATACAGATTTCGAGATAATTGCAAAAACGACTCCGCCCCGGGGCCACTTCGCCCCGGTCTCACATTACTATTGCTTGTATGACGCGCGCGTAAAACGATCAAGCATTATCACGTATTATTATTTACTTTGTACGTATAGTACCTGAACGGTAAGTTGTTCACCAGTGTAACAAAACAAGAACATATTTATCATCATGGATGTAACTGATGAGAAGTAGGAGCACATAGCTATCGTATTACTATTTTCCCATTCCTATAAATGTTACATTATTGGGCATTTCTTTTTGTTCTGTTTATTGAATTTTTCGA